AGCGTTTTACTTAATCATAAATTTAAAAATTTTTAAATATTCTTCGAACGTATAATATTATATTCTTATATAAATATATTGTCGTAAACAATTTCTTTGAATCATGTTAGCATGAAACATTGCTCGAATTATAAATAATATTTTAAAACAAATATGTAAAATGTATAACAACATTTTATGAATTTTTCTCTGCAGAAAGTAGCAAAACTAATATTCATTCAATCGAAATACAATACTCAGCTATAAATTCTAATGTAAATATCAATGAAACCAAAATGAATATCTATTACTACATGGAAAATAAGATTATTAATTAAAAAGAATATAAAAATCAACTTTTATAATTCGTTTAACTTTTATATTAATGATACATTTAGAAAACTAATGTATTACGTATAATTAGAAAATGAAATATTGTCAAAGGATCTTTGTTAAAGTAAAATAATAATAAAAAAAAAAAACCTATTGATTATTATTGCATCCGAATTTTGTCAGCTAATGTGTGATTGTATTAAACAATGTATACCTTTTATAGCAAAGTTCATTAGTACCCATTGAAAGTCATTCTTGTTCTTGAGTATTGGAAAGTTTTTATATAATAATATTTGATTTGTAGAGTAATATAAACGATATGTTTGCAGAACAATACAAAAAACATTTATCTCATTTTTATCATATAGGACTATCAGTAATCATAAAACAGACAAGGATTTTTTAATAAAATGGTAAAATATTAAATAAATTTCAATGATTTATATTATAGTGCATTTTATTAATAATTTTCGTATGCATCATTTTTTTTAAACAATTGTACATTTATATATAGATATATATATATATATATATATATATATATATATATAAAGTTAGTTTAAAAATTTAACATAGAAATATATATTTATACATAACTTAACATTTGATTCATCAAAATATTTTAGTGCACATTGTGATAGAAACACTTTAAACTATAAACTATATAAATATAAATATCAGACTGTTTTACTTCAAGAAACAAAATTAGAAATTAAACATCATAATAGATATTTACAGCTGAATTCTCTAAATATTATTATAGTTTTTACAAGCATAAAATGAAAAATTTTCTGAATTATTCTGTTTTTAATGAAGTACTTTAAAAAATATTTTAAAGAATAAATTGTTTTACGATAAAATCATAAAACTAAATAATCGTGAATAATTGTATTTGTTCAATATGATCGGATATATATATATATATATATACATAACACAATTTTCAAATATTAATAGTATGTAAATAAAATTCAAACAATTTCGAATAATCAAAAAAAAAAATTTTTTTTCTAATAACTTATATAATAAATTTAATTTTAATTGAAATAAATATATTCTATATTTTCAAAATGAACTATCGTTAAAAATATCATAAACTATGTTTATTATAAAAGCATAAATTTGTTTTGAAAAATGTAAAAACATTAAATAACATAAGTTTATTTGAATAATGTAATATTTAAATATGTTTAAAAATTAATAAAAATATTTTGTTACTTGAAAAAACATAAATATTAAGTAATCGCCGTATAAATCAGTTCTTATATAAGCATCCAATAAAAAAACAATAATCTCGTTTACCTAATTTCTTATAAAATTTTTATAATAATTAATTTAACAGAGTTTATGTTCCATTTTCTTTCATTATATAATAATTATTTTTTTAAATAAATTGCAAACTTTTTATATAAGAACAATATAGATTTTTTTATGTTTTATTAAAAATTATGTGTTCTTAAAATATCTAACTCTACTGAAATATTTCTTTAGGTCATAATTTCGAATTGGTATTACATATGACTTCATATATATATATATATATATTTTTTTTATAACTCAACTCGTAACATCAAAATATAATTTTGACATCCTCCGATTATTTATATAAAAAGTATTAGAAATATTTCAAACGTTTTATTTTGGATACAACAGTGAACTGTTTTTTTTCTCGATCTGATTATGTAATTGAACGTCAAACTATAAATATTTTATAGTATTTCATAAAATATAGACAAAACTGTTGTAATATTTATGTTCTCCGATTTAAAAAGCCATTAAACTACTGTCGTTGGTCTCTTATAATTAGTATGACTAATTAATTTAAACTTAACGATCGGAAAGAAAGTTTCTTTTCTACAAAATTCGTGCTACCTTTGTTAAATAGAACGCAATACTAATGCAAAACTAATTAGTCATATTTCCAATACATCTACGTATTTATTTGATGTATTATTGTGATTAGTACTTTTAGTTGATTAGTTGTACAATATATTAAAATTCAGTTCATTGATAGGAATACAGATTTGTGATCATATAAACAAAATAGAACGCGTTACGGCTTATTTCTTGACTCGAATGTCAAAACAAATGACTAAAAAATCAATTTGAATACTATATATAACTAATAGTTAGAGTTGCACGTGTGAGAAATGAAATGTTCAAAAAGTGTTGAAGAAAAATCTAACGTCATATATCCCATAAACAAATACTACTAATAATAATAACTAATAATAACCATAAACATAGCTACTAATCATAAAAGACACTCTTCGTGGTGAACTTGATTATTGCTCATTAAGTATTAGAATTCTTATGGTTTTGTGCAGAATAAAAATCACCAATGGTTTTATATGTATCCTTGAAGCCGCATTTTTCCATAACCCTTTCGCAATATTCGTACCAAGTTACCACATTATCGTATCTGCCAATATCAAAAGTAAATGCCTAGAATGCATAAAAATTATTATTACAATGTGATTTTGCTCCTTCTGAGGTACTATATAAAATTTTTTATTTAGTATACTAAATTAAATAGAATGCGGCAATAATATGTTAACCATCATTTCATTTCCTACCGATAAATTTCATTTTCATACCGATTCATACCGATAAAATTGATAACGATTATTAATAATTAATCGCTATATTAATATGGTTTAATAGTTATAAAGCTATAAAATCATTTTTGCTACAATATTATTATGTATTATAGAGTATTATGTGTTATATGAATATTATTTGTCGTATCAAAGTAAATAATATACAAAGTGTGGAAGTATTTAAGAATTTAGTTAAGGTAAAATGAAAGACGACATCTTATATAAGATAGGTAGACATTACTAAGTTAAATCAACATTCACCAACGTATCAATTATTTATCAATCATTGTATAATCATAATTTTATATCATACTATTGTAAACTAACTAACTTTATTGATATTTTTCTTAAAGGTCGTATTGTTGTTTTTATTCTTATTGCAATGAAACGAAAATTAATATTGAACAAATTTTTTTTCCACTCGAAATGAATAAATATAATTAATTGTAAGCACTTTTAATTTTAACAAATATAAAATACCTTTGCTGCAGACACACTACTTCCAATAGCAAAATCTGCTATAGTCAGCTCGTTGCCAGCAACAAATCGACTATCTTTTAAATATCCATCCAAAAGTTCAAAGGCTTTTTCGATTAGTGCAGTATATTTCTCAGAAGGTGTATCGGATATACCAATTAATACTGGTCGCTAAAAATTAGAATATTCGAATGATTTTTATAAAATATGCCCGATACTGGTTTTATGACAAAACAATTTTTTAATAGGGATATTTTTCATTTCGTATATTCATCATGTCATGTAATGTATAATTCTATCTAATGAATTTCAGTTTAAATTCGTACTATGTAGTAATTGCAATGAATAAGACACTGTTCATTAAAAAAGAATGAATATTTTTAAAAGGCACATTATTAACATATTATACAATGAAATATATATAATAATCAAATAAACCTAGATTATCATGTAAATGAATTTATTTTAAAAACATGGTATATCAGTAAAACTTATATACCATTTCATATATCAATTATTCGCACAAAGTTACAAAAATTAGTTTAAAAAGGCTTGCCTTTGAAACAAATTTGTACAGTTTTCTTGATAACTAAACAAATGTACTTCACCAGTCAAATATAATTAAAAATATACTCCTATAAAATACTTTCAAAAAAAAAAAAAAAAAAAAAAAAAAAAAAAAAAAAGAAATAAAATATAAAAAGAATTAAATACTATAGAAACATAAGCCAAAAGCATTATTTCATTAAAAATAAAAACATATCATTATCAATTCCATTTTAATAAAAACGTTTAAATAATAAGTAATGAATATTTTAATAAAAAGTTTATGTAATCGAAAATTTATCTAGATGATATATATATATATATATTGCGAATGAGATGGTAAATTGACAGTAAAATAGTGAACTATTAACAATATAATATAGGATTATCTAACAATATTTCATAATATGTTCTATAAAATTTAAAGTATATTCGTAAATATAATTTATGTAATTGTTAATTATTAGAATAATATTTTTATAATAAATATTAAATATTATAACTAGTCATAAAAAATTTCCATTCGCTGATACAAAAATTTATTATTAAATCTGAGTAAATGTAAAGAAGGGAGAAAAAATTTCTACATATTAATTTCGACGATAAATATTATAATAAGAAGAGAACCATTTAATATATGAATATTTATGACTGATAGGTAGTTTTTATACATTCATTGATTAATTGTTGCTAATGCTTGTGAAATATCATGATTATTAGGATAATTTTGTACTTAATGAGAAATCGGAATGATACAATTATTAACATTTGGCACAAATTAGAAACGACATTTAAAAAGAAAAGAGTATAAGAGAAAAAAGTATAACGAAAAGAGCCATGGTTGTAACTTAATAATAGTTAGATAATGATTAACACCTTTCCACTGATATATTTTCGTGTATCGTACTCTTATCTATTTTTAAATTCTAACAGATAATAAATTCTGCAATGTAAAGTAAATTTATCGTATTTTTTCATAAATAGAGTAAGAACTGTTGTATTATCTATACAATGATCAGTAAAATACGAAAGTTAAATAAAATAAAAGAAAAAGAAATAAGATTGAAATTTCGTTTTATATGTAGCTATTATAATATAAATAGGGAACAATAAATTATAGTTGTAAATAAATTATATAAAGATTATATATTAACTATTGTTAATGAAGATAAACGAACGCTTTAAGATAAAAGGAGACTGCAGCACCTGAATAGAAGTAAACTGAATGGACATTTCTCTGGGCATTCTAGAGAAAAGCAAACTCATGCAAAAAGACTAATAAAATTCGTCTTAATCAAGTAGAAACAGAATTCCTTTAATCTTAATGGAAATTAAAGCGTAAAAGTTTAAGAAAGTGCACGAGATTTCCAATGGAGTACGAACTAAGCATCAATAATAAATATAATTTTCATTTCTCGAAAAGTTTCATAATATATTATCATTTTACAATATGTAATTGTTTAAAGTAATCATTCTTTCAATGAAAAAAGCAATATCTAAAACAATATTTCGAGATAATTAAAAATACAAAGACCTTACAGTATTATCTACAACTATTATCATTAGAGTTATACATATTATCAATGTATTAAGTATAATACTCATTATTAATAAAGAAAATTGTTTTCAAAAATTTAATTAGTATGTAGCAAAATGTTATACTGGTAGAAAATTGCATAATTTTTTATGTATTATAAGTATATCCTTCTACAATGTAATTCTTCTCACTCGCGTTGCAATAAAAATAATAATAATAATCAATTTAGTACGCTACATGCCCCATAGTTATAATCTATATTTTCTATTGAATCTCAAATTAATGATAATATGGTGGTGTATAATTTATGGAATAGTAGTTACAATACATTACACTTACATAACAATCTATAATATTCTCGAAAAGTGTACCGATATCAAAGTATAGTCGATGTTCGACTATTGCACGTTTTTCTGGATCTCTAGGATAGAGTGAATCGTTCTTCGCATATTTCATCACTAAATATATCATAATTGGTCGACTACAACAAATCATTATTATGAAACCTGTGCTCGTATAAATATTTTTGTTCAAGGTTTATGTATACCTTTCCCACAAGATAAAGCCGTTATCATCAATGGTCGGGAGCGTATGTTGAGGGTTGATCTGCAACCACAAAAAAAAAAGCACAATCATTCTTTTTATCTTGCCAATATGCCTTTTTGGTAGAGTTTATTATTATACAGATTGATAAAATAAGATAAAACCTTTCCTGAATGTTTTAAAATAGTTTTATATTTTAATCAATATGCCCATTGCATGTTTTTATATCAAGTTATATATACAATTATATAAAGAAGCAGAGAGAGAGAGAGAGAGAGAGAGAGAGTATAAATTATAAATTTGCTATATTTATAAGCATAAATTAAATATTAGTTTTAAATGAATTTGTAAAGAATATTGAAGTATAAATAATGTTATAATGTAAAAAAATGTTATCTTATAATATACCTTTTTAAATGAAGCCTGCATTTGCTCTCCTTTGAACAGGTTGACTTGCTTAAGATTTAAATGAATTCCAAGATATTTCGCTAATATCATAACAGACCTGCATGGCACACTTAGAGGAAAATAATATAAGTCGATTGTCATTTTAATCTATTTAATCACTTTACTTCATTAGAAACTAACAGTGCAGACTGTATATACAAAATGGTCAAGGTAATCCAATAAATCAATCTGAAAAAGGTATTTATCAAAATAATTACTTATATTTAAATTACATTCACTTATATGCACTTTATTTTCATAATTGTTAACTGTTTTGTAATTGAATAATACATTAAATATGGAAAAATGTCAAGTTAAATTCTTCCGTAATTTCAACATTTATAATTTTATTCTCGTTAAACGTATGATAATTGATGATAAATATATGATAATTATATGAAAATTATTTATATTTAGAATAATATTACATATAATTTTATTCGTAATTTAATAATATATGTATTTATCAACAAAATTTTAATATAGAAACAATTATCTTTAGCCAAAATAATAATAATAAAATCATAATATTAGATAGATAGATATAATTCAGACATTTGTAATAAAATATTTTAAATTGAACGAACTCCGACAATATTAATTACATTCAATCAATGTGAGTTAGAATATATGAAAATATCACTTATCCTATTTCTCTATACAATATTATTTATAATTATAATTATTTACATAAATTGTATACCTAATGATATAGATATAAGGTCTACTGAATTTAATTATCCTAGAAAAACTGTCTTCAAATAGTTTACATTTTATAACTTTATTTAAACATGCATTAATGTCAAATTAATTTATTAATCTATTATTATAATTTTTTACATGGGATTTAATTATGAAAGGATTTAATTTAATAGAAAGACATAAACAACATTTACATTTTATTGATGAAGTAGTATGATTAAAGTATACAGTTCTATATTAAGGATTTCAATTATTTATCTAGAAGCAATTGTAATTAGCCAAGTATATTATTAAGAATGAATATGGAAATTAACGAATATTTTGTAGTATATAAAAGGAAGAAGAAGATCCTATATTTATTTGAATACATCGATTAAAATATAACATTACAAAAGAATACAACATTTAGAGCGAACTTACATAATATTATTAAACCATATAAATTATAATCGTATTGCCGTCACATCTTACTAATTATTTGAAAAATTTTGCCCGATAATCTGAGGGTGAATGCAATGGCAGTTGGAGTTGAACTGCTTTCTACTCGACTACTTGTCATAGTTTTAGTTGCCATGGACACACTAAGCAACAATACGTGGCCATCGATTCTTTATCGTAATTATTTGCGGGTTTAAGTAGCGGCGAATGACCAATTTCCTTTAGCCTTTACTTTTCTCTCGCTTATTCAATAAAGCAATCTACCATTATAAAATAATTTACCATTAAAAAAAAAGAAAAGAATGCTTCATATTCAACGATTTTATGGTTTCGCTCAATTAGAACACGATTATCAATACTGTTCTCCTATCTTCGTTTAACACAAATGCGTTATATGCATTATATGCATAGAGAGATTTGAAAATGTTAAAATGACATATTTTGTCATACCAATATACCATGAGGCAGGCATATAACATTTTTATATCCCTCACTCCGAGCCCAAGTCTTTCTATACCTTAGGTATGTATGCATAAATGCTTACAACATATGTGCCTAGATACGGCTACACAGCTAAAATCGTCGGAGAAAGGGGCGGGAGGGGGGGGGTTCGACTAATCCCCCGAAAAAATCGCTAGTAGAGCGGCGCTTAAAGTTCCGGAGAAAAGAGGAAAGTCGACGATCGAGATCAACGGACGGGACATCAACCCTTCCGAGGAAGGAGGAAAAGTTATTATCAACGTACAAAGTAATCTCGGTCGCTTCATCCACCCTTCCCCACAATCCACCAACTGTAAGCAGCCGGAGATTTAGAATTGAGATTAACTACAACTCGACCGCTCATTATACTTATCACAAATATTAATCGAATGTTAAGCATTTAAGCACAAATACATATATATTAAATTGACTATAAAGTATTATAGCTGTTTTCGATAAAAGATAATAAAAGATTAAAAAAAAAAAAAAAAAAAAAAAAAAAAAAAAAAAAAAAAAACAAGAACAATAAGATATTTTAGAAGTAAAGTAAAATAATTATATAATAATATAATGATGATAATAGTCTGCACAGTCCATTATATTCGATGTATATGTATATTTTTATTTTTTTTAATATTTATTTTACATTTTTCGCACTGTTTTTCCACGTTTACATATTTGATTATATTTGATTATAAACAAATACAGAAAAAATGTTAAGTAATAACCCTTTACTTTTTTATATTCATATAAAATATTCTTACAACAATTTTTTTCTTAATTTGTTAACAATTACTAATAAGTTTTTAATTTATAATGAAATTTTTATTATCTTTAATTATCTAATTTCAACAATATTAAAAGAATGAATTATAGGCAATTTTTTAACTATTATACAGAGATTCATTGGTATTTAGTTACTCTATTAAAATTTATTACTCGTTCGTACTTATTAACATTTAATCTATATTTGATATCCTCCTCTGAGCAACAGCAGCATGTTTTATGTTTTCAAAATAAAATAAGATCAAAAAGTTTTTCTTTTCGGGATTACACTATTCTTGTGCATTTTCATCGCAGGAGGTAAAATATTAATAACCATTATTACTTTTCTCAATTATTTTTCACACTATTTTTCCTTTGTAATATATTCATGAATCCTAACGGATAGAAAATTTGTTTGTCAAATACTAGTTACAAATTAATGTAGCGTGTACTTTAAAATTATTGTATGTAAAATTAGTATAAATTATATAATTATAGTCTTCTACGTATAATAAAATTATACATTTATAATTGAAAATATATAATTAATCAATAAAATTTTATTAAAAGAAAATTAATAAGAGGTAACGTTAAATATTGTTAACTATTGGGTTAGTTTTACAGCTAGAAAATAATCATTTTTATCATCAAATGGATTCAGAAACTTTACAATTATATTACATTGAAAGTAATATCCAACTGTACAAAAGAATTCATTGCGCTATTCAAAAAATTGATCAACTGTTGCTTCCATAAGAATTCAATAAAATAATTAAAAAAAAAAAGGCTTATTTGTGTTTATTCTAATTTCCGAAAATTAGCTACGAATTTTCGCACATTATTCTGGTCATTTGAAATTTTACTCGGTTACAGTACGCAACCAAAGCGTTTATAGTAATCCTCGTCAATTATATTATCTAGGGAATGAAATTCTTGGAATACAAACAGGGTGACTTCGATTACTCCATCAGTTGCTCGTTGAACCTCTTTGCTAATTCTCTAATCATCGCAAATGATGCCTTGAGCGCATTAGTGATTATGTTCCTTTTTAACTACAGTAATTTCAGAGTATTCTACCGAAGGTAATCACGGAATTATGGGTTTCCGCTCGCCAAACAGTGAAAATTAAATTATTATTTTTAAATAATATAATAATAATAATAATAATAATAATAATAATTTATATATCATTTTAAACTTTTTCAGAAGTTGTAAATATAACCCAATTAATCGAAGCTAAAATTCTGAAATTTGGAAGTTTAATGGTGAATTTGCAATTTTCTTACTAATAATTAATACGATTAATATCATACATATTCGTACTAATACTACATTTTGATTTTATTATTGAATTGAAATTAATTTATATCAGCTAAAATCTACGTAAAATAGCTTTAAAACCCAATCAGATTTATTAGTTGTAAAATAGAATTTAATAAGTTTCATACTATTTTACTCTGTTAAAACTATAAAATTAAAAAATTTTTTATGATATTCAAAGAAAATGTTGCATTGAAAAGGTAATATTATTAAGAGCATCAACGGCTATGCTTTTTTATAGCCATATAACATACTTTAATCGCTCCGCCATTGGTTAATTTAATAAACAATCCGGTTAAATATGCATTTTACCAAGAGCGAAATAGCCAAAGTTTATTTAATACAAATAGAATACAAATGGGCATTATTATAAAAAAAAAAAAACAAAAAAACGCGTATATATATTTGACGTTAATTTAATGACATTTCGATATACAATTTTTTTTTCAAAATAATTACAAATATGTACTTTAGATTAAAATTAGGTATATTGATGTACTCAAGGGGTCCTAATTCCCAACACAATCTCACTCTATTTATTTTAACCCTCTAGATACAGGTACAAGTCACTGTGCATTAATCGTCATTTCGCGTACAAGCGTGAAGAGTGAAAAGCAAAAAATAAAAATAGGGGGAGAGGAAGAGAGAGAGAGAGAGAGAGAGAGGGGCGAAATTGATGAAACACCCGTGTTGTCTCACAGTTACAGTCGAAAGGATAAAAGCATTGTGCCTCGCAGTCAGAAAGTGGAGAGTAAAGACACGAGCAGAGTAAGAGAAATATCGCTAACTCTCAGTGCACAATCCGCCCTTTTAAAGACGAATATATAGATATATGAATATGCTTGTTTCAAGCGCGATAACCACCTTCCTCGAGGCGACTTATCGGACTTTTCCTGCTGGTCATAAACGGACCGAGTAGTCGACTTTTAAGGCATCCGGGGTTCATCCTCCGTTATTCATCTATACTAATATCATTATTTTTATTTTCCTTTTTTTTTTTTTTTTTTTTTTTTTTGGTACATTCTAGAGTATGAAATACTCAGATAGACTTGTAAAGCACAAGTTATATTTTATTTTTGTAATTTATTTTTATTAGACTGCTAGACTTGCTAGTCTCTTTAGCAAGATAGTACACACATTTAAAGTCGATATATTTTGTTTTTGATATATGAGTAAATTTGGAACGAAATTTAAGTTCTTTTTATAATAACATGTAATAACATTACATTACTATTAATAGGCATGATTTTAGAATAGAATATCACAATCGACAAAAATTTTTCTGATTATCTTAGAAAGACGTATGTATAATAATGTAAAATAATGCGTTTTGAAATCCGTATTCGACTACGTTATCTTTTATAAGAAAATTAGTTTAATGAACCTCTTTAATTATTTTATGACTATTAATAGGAGAACTATTATTTACTTATGATTGTTATTTATTGTATACTGATTAA